TAACTTCGCTGCAGGATAATCGAGTGTAGGGAAAGAAAAGAAAAAGTGGGTATAGAATAAGCCGAAAGTCACCCGAAACAGTCTCTCACGCTAGCGTGAAGGAACTGCAATAGAGAGGCATAAGAACAGTCTCACAGCTATGGGACTAGCTATCTACTAAGAGGGGGGTAGTATAACGATGTTACAACTTCGCCATGTATCGGACCAATCCCAGAGCCGGATCGGAGGTAGTACTCGCCGCCCTCTTCATCAACCACTCATTGTAAGGTCGGATCCGATTCGGATCCGACTAAGATAAGTATATAAGGAGACACTCCCTGTAGCTAGCTCTATAGACTTTTAATATCCTTTCGTACAAGGCCTATAAGTGTCTATTCGAATTAAGGCTCGTTTAATGTCCCACGCACTCCCATATGCCTCTGAGTGACACTACCGCCGATACTGATCCAAGTAGTCTTGCCTGCGCCGTTACATCTATAACGTTTCTTTTTAGCGGCTTTCTAATTAGCTTAATAAAATTACTATTTAGCTCTAGGTATCTCTAAACTACCGTAAACTAACTACAATTAAGGAGTAAATAATTATATAATATATTCTTAATCTAGATTTATAAGAATTTACTTCTTAACTATATAAGATAGTAGATATAGTAGAGAAACTACTATGTATATATATAAAATAGCTAACCTTTAGATAAGAACTAGGTAGAGTAATTTATATTACGTTTAAATAAGCTTAAAATAGCTTTTAATTAAGTAAAAGACTACTAAAGAATATAGTAGAAAGATCTAGAGGTTATTAACGCGTAGTTTAGTCTTATATAAGAGATAATTAAGAAGTATAGAGTATATTCTAATAATATTTATAACTTTAATAAGACTAGCTTTTAGATAAGTATAATTAGTTTAATAAAGATTATTATAGGCGTAGAGCGGTATATAAGGCCTACTCTTACGTAGCTAGGTAATTGTAAGTAGATTATAGTTATTTAGAGTATCTATATTATAGAGTATACTACTCTACTATTTATTATCTATAAAGAACGTATCTATATCTCTACTTACACCACACACACCAACTTTTTAGCTGAATTTTTTCATCAAAACTCGTCAATTTTCTATCGGATATAGGGGTAACACGTCGCGAGAAATCGATTAACGCCGCCTCTAACGTGTGCAGCCCTCTCGTTGAGGTGCTAGAGGGGGTATTATCGATTTTCCCGCGACGTGTTCAAAATGCGAAAATCTTCGAGAACGCACGGACCGCCCTGATAACTAATAGAGAGACTACCATACGACAATAAAAACAATCGAAAAATAATAAAAGAAACAAAACTACTTAAACGCTAAGATAGCCGTTGCTTGATAGGCACTATATCCAAACGCCGAGACAGCTACTACTCGCTGGGCACCATATCTAAACGCCAAGACAGCCTCTGCCTGCTATGGCACCAATTCTAAACGCTGATACAGTGGTTGGTTACACTGTAGAAGTACCAATTTTAAACGCCAAAGCCCTCGCCCGCTAGGCACCAAAATCAAACGCTAATACAGAGATTGGTTACCTCTGTTAAAGCACCTAGTCCAAACGCTAAAGAAGCTCTCGCCCGCTAGGCACTATATCCGAACGCTGATACAGAGATTCGTAACCTCTGTAGAAGCACCCCAGTCAAAACGCCAAAGAAGCCCTTGCTCGCTAGGCACTAAAATTAAACGCTGATATAGAGATTAGTTACCTCTGTTAAAGCACCTAGTCCAAACGCTAATACAGAGATTGGTTACCTCTGTAGAAGCACCCTAGTTAAAACGCTAAAGAAGCCTTTGCTCGCTAGGCACCATATCCGAACGCTAATACAGAGATTTGTAACCTCTGTTAAAGCACCTAGTCAAAACGCCAAAGCCCTCGCCCGCTAGGCACCAAAATTAAACGCTGATATAGAGATTCGTTATCTCTGTAGAAGCACCAAGTCAAAACGCTAGAATAGTAGTTGTGAACTGTACTAGCAAAAATACTTAAACGCTAAGATAGCCTCCGCCCGCTATAATAGCACCCCAGCAGAACGAGAGAGCTACTCATTAAAACTTGAGAGGAAGACTCACTAAAAGTGAACGAGAGAGCTACTTATTAAAACTAGAGAGAGTTACTCTATAAAACTAAACAAGCTGAAAATATTTCCTTTCCCCCTAAGAGAGCTCGCTGGAAGGCAGCCTAGCTGCCCTACATCTCTCCCTGTTACTAAACTGCTCTTTAGCACCAGGCGTCTAGAAAGCTAGTACTAGCTTAACTAGACAAAGGCCGAAGCACCATAGTCACGCAATACAGCACAACGTACCAAATTGTTACTAGTTAGATAGAACGGCCTTTGGCCAAAGTCCTACATAGCCCACGGCTGATACAGGACTATAATGGAATAATAATAATAATAATAATATTAAGACGCTCTTTCCTACTTTAAGGATAAATCCTAAGTATTTCGTACATTAGATGTTAAATTCACACTTCTTAAGTTTAAGCTACAGCTCTATAGCTTACAGACGCTTAATTACTTATTATATATATCTATAATATTAAAATATTAAGCTATCTATATAGATTAGGATATTATCTGAGTAGGCAGAAGCGAAATCGTCTAAAAACTCGCGCAGCGTCTAGTTAATATAGCGCTAGAATATAATAGAGGCGTTAGTAAGCCTAAAAGAAGTAACTAGCTACTGATACAACCTAAACTAAGTATAGAAAGCAGTTATCTATTCCTAGCCCTCTATAATCTAGATTTTATAGAAGGCGGCCGTAATATTAAGCTTTATATACTACTTTACTTATCTAACTTAATTTAGCGTCTCCTATATAAGAGGTAGAGAATAATAATTCTTATAAGTTAGCGTATTTAGGGCGCGGTAGTCTACATAGAATCTTAGTTCTCCCCTAGGTTTCTATATAAAAAGAACTAGTAACGCGGTAAAGAAGTTACTTACGCAGATAAACCCTTTCTTAAGTAACTTATATAGTATCTTACATAGTACTAGAAGTTTATCTCTAGATATATTATAGAGAGATCTATACGGGACTTCTAGCAGCTTCCTATTATCTTTAGAGATTAGTTTAATCTTATAGTTAACGTCTAGGCCTTATAGAGGCAGAAGCTTATCTTCTTTCTTTAGAGTAAATAGAGAGACGTACGGTTATAAGTATAAAGGAAGAGACTTAGTTACTTCTACTATAGTTAGCTACGTCTTTAGACGGAGAGCTTTCTTAATATTTTAGAGATTAGCAGCGAAGACTTACAGAGCTAGCCGTTTTTAGCTTCGTTATACATAGGCCTAAAAGGTAGCTACTAAGATTACGGCGAAGTTCTATAATAGTTTAGTTCTCTCTATACTAGGCACAGAGAGATTATAACGCAGAAGAAGAAGTGTCTATCTAGCTATATTAATAACACCTCCTATATCTTTAAGCTATATTTTCTCTAAAATAATATCGTACTCGTACGTAGACGTAGTAATAAAAACAGCTACTTTTCACTTAATTCCTCTAATATCTATAGTAAATTAAGTAATAGCTTATACAGTACTTTTTTAGTTATTAACACCTTTAATTTCCCTAGTAGAGATAGATACACGCAGTAGGTTAAGTTCTTATACAAGTCTTTTACATACTATTACATAAGTATAGCACCCGTTATTAATTATAGCAGTAGCGTTTTTTAAAAGATTAACGATTACGTCTATAGATATTAGCTAAGTAGGCTTTAGTTAGTAAAGTAGCTCTTAAACAGGTCGTACGACCTACTTATCCTGCTTTAGCTACCCTAGTTGGCGCTTTTAGACTAGAGCTCTTCTTTTCCCTCGTCTAAGCTCTTATCTTCTAAGATAGTAGTTAGGACTTTTATTATAGTCTCTAGCTTACGTATACATTTTAGAACTATTACTTTACACTACCGTACGAGGTGGCCGTAGATACTACAACGTAGACAGCTACCCTTCTCTTTATGTTAAGCGATTTAGCTTTATATACCTTAGTACTTATTCCTTATACAGAGGCGCATAGCGCCTATATTAGGCGTCCAGTCCATTTTGTCCATAGTAGCTAAGGTAGCTATAGGGAGAGAAGTGGAGTAGAAGAGCGCATTAAACAAGAGTTAGTCAATTACCTTAAGATTTTCCTAAGTGCTCCTAAATCAATACATAAAGGCGTCGTACGTCTCGTTTAAAGGAGGCTAGTACTTAGCTTAGTAACAAAGTAGCTTCCTATTAAGAGAATTCTTAAGGTAGTTAATTTTTAACGCGTCGTCATCTTGTCTAAAACCAGCTTTATTAAACTTTAGATTAAAAGCTCGTACGTAGAAAAAAAACTTATCTTTCTCTTACTTAGTTATACAGAGATACTATAGAGCTTTTTACTTAATTAAAGAGTCTTTAAAGAACGCGTCTAGTTGCTCCTAAAGCTTACTAAGATAAGGTAATAAGTTTCTACTTATAAAGTCTTATACATAAGCCTATAATACTAAAAAGGCTAGTTCTTCTATACGGGAGATTATATAGTAAGCTTAGTAGAACTCTATAAAGTAAGCCTAGTAATCCGCTAATAGTTTTATATAAATCTACATCTTCTACTACGTGTATTCTTTATATGAGCCTTTCTTAAAGATTCTAATATTAAAGAGTCTAGCTTTCCCAAACTCTTATACGGGCGTAGGCGTAGCTAGAGGCTAGTAAGGAGATTACTAACTTTCTATATTTAGCGTAAGATTAGAAGTCTATACGTTAGGGGTAGCTTACCCCTGTACTATATAGAGAAAAAGAGCTTTTATCTCTTAGAGTTCTTCTTATACGCCTTTAGCGTTCTTAAGTCTTATAGCTATCTAGTCTAGGTTTCGTTAGAGTAGATTATTTATTACATTAAGTTAGCTCCAGCTTTCTGCGAGCTCCTCGTACGATAGAGGCCTTAGTAGGGCGTTGCTAGGTTCTAGGTTTAGCGTAAGCTTATATAGCCCTATCGTTATATCTTATTAGTTTTATATTCTTAATTCTCTCTTGCTTCGTACGAGAGAAAAGAGTAAAGAAGGTTAAAGTAATCTTTTAGCTTATGTTATAAGCGGAGAGGCCTAGCGAATAAGTATACTTCTACCTATTATACAGAAGCTAAAAGATAAGAAAAAGAGAGAATAACTAAGTATAGGCTTCTCTTATGTTGAAATAAGGAGGGTGCTACTTGTTCTATAGCTAGCTCAGAGGTATAGTAGTCTACTTGTCTAGCGATAGACTCAGAGGTAGCGAATCGATAGGTTCTAGGATGAAAAGAGAGAAATGCTAGGGGAGAGAGATAAGGATTGGATTGATCTGATCTAGTAGTCTGATCTGTTCTTGTAATCTGCTCTTTTGTTTCTATCTACTAGCTATTCTACTACTATATATATTTGCTGTACTAGATTCTAGAAGAATCTATCTAGTAGTAGATTACGTAGCTATAGACGTAATAGATAGATGAATTGTATAGGGATTGGTTGACTGAAGAATCCGAGTATAGTGCCGAGCACCCGGATTATGTCAGAGATTAGCTGATTAGCTTATATCTCTAACATCTTATACTTACTCGCTTCTGATCACGTGTCTGTACGGAAGGCATATCACGTGGTCATCGACTACGTGATCCCTTCGGTAGAGATCATAGGCGCAGCCCTTTACAGCATTATCCTATTAAAAACTCTAACCTAGAGTTATTAATTAGTTTAATATATATAGTAATATAAATATTTATATATATATAGAGAAATATAGAAATCTAAGTAAAAATTAGTATATATTACTTACCTCTTTTAATCTAAGGTTTAACGTGAGGTATTAGGCACTTTCGAATATAGTAGGAATTCCGATGGCTAATAGTTGATTTTAGCGTTTTAATAACTACTATATTAGATCTTTCTCCTACCTAAATAGCAGCCTAAACTTAGATAGTAATATCGCGATCTATATCTTTATTAGTAATTAAGCTACTATAATAAGAATATAATATCTTAAAAATAGATATTATAGGTAAGTATTAGAAAATATAAATATTAATCTAAACGTACTTTTGTTCTTGGTAGAAATAAGCTTTTGGCCTAACTGCTGATTTCTACGTTTTCTTATATATTCTGATCGAGATCTATGCCCACGTTCGATTCCACACTCGTCTAAGAATATAATCTTTCTAAAATTAATACTAGAAAGCTCTTTTAGCTAGTTCTTAGCATAAGCTAGTCTCCTTTTAGCTGTAGAGGCGTTTAAAATCTGTTTTTTAGAACAGATATTAACGGTCTAACCTTAATCCTTAAGAGCCCTATGAAGCGTTCTAGAAGAAATATCTAAACTATTTTCTCTTATTAAACGCTTCTTTTGTTTCTTAGGACTTCTAATAATATCTCTATTAATTGTTAGAGATCTAAGCTACTTAGCTAATCTCTGATAAGATCGATCTATCAATCGACTAGATCGCTATACCCTAGCGATCTATACTATCATACTACTAGTGTATCACGAGTGTATTAGTAGCGTAAGAGATAAATAAAGATTACGTGTATACAACGTAATCTATCGCTACTAGCTAGTATAAATACTAGTGATAGGAATACTAGATAGAACGCAGAGCAGATTACAAGCACAAAGTAGACTACTAGTGCAGACAACAAGATAAGATCGGATCAATCTAGTTCTTCAATCTCTCCCCTAGCATTGTTTCTCTCTTTTCATCCTAGAACCTATCGATTCGCTATCTCTGAGTCTATCGCTAGACAAGTAGACAACTCTACCTCTGAGCTAGCTATAGAACAAGTAGCACCCTCCTTATTCCAACATTAATAGCTCTTAAGGCTCTAGAAGATACCTTAGAAACTCTGCCTCTACTAGCTCTTTCTTTGTTAAAATAACTTGTCTTCTTTTCTTTAATTCGGTATTTAGCGTTATAAATAGCACGGGGGCTTTTGTTAAAGTATTTAATAATGTTTACTAGTAGTACGTTTGCCTTTAGTAACCTATCAAGTTGCGATTCGAAATTTAATAATTTTGCGTATATAAGAGGAGAATGCAGTTATAAGTTTCTAAGAGAGAAAAGATATTAATATATACTCTAATATTACTAATCGCTGACTAATATAGCGCTTATATAAGTGGTACCTAAAAATAACCTTTATTTATTTCTATATATTATACGTATAAAATACAATAACTAAGATGCTTATATAATTACTTAGTAAGTATATTACTAATATATATAGACTAATATTAAAAAAGTCAAAATTTACAGCGCGAAATTTAGAGCTAAAGTTAGAATATTTTTTTACTCTACGTTTAAGAAGACATATGGCCTTCCTAGTGCTAACTAAGCAGTATTACTAGACCCTCATCTTATACGCCAAGAAATTTCCTATTCAACGATATATTTTTTATTAGTTTAGCGCTAATACTCATTGAGCAATGGATGTTTAAAAATCACAACTTTTTGGAGTTCTTTTTTTTTTGTCACCCCACTGTAGTATCTTCGAAACGTTTCATATTTGACCGGATCAGCCAATGGCAACATTCTGAAGGCCTAGCCCATTGCAATTGCCACCGCGGGGTGCATAGATCAGTCTTGTGATTCATATCTCGCCAAGACTGGCCATCTGGGATGGTGGTGATCGAGTGTTAGTGGCTCTTGAATTCGCACTTTACTGTTGGAGAACCCCTATACTCTAACACCGTTAGATCGCTCGCGTACAACTCTGATCTTCGAAGTCGCTCCAGCAGCCGTATGCATTCTACTGTTCACTAAAGTTTAGCCTCCTCAATCCTCGCAAGAACATATGTCGCGGAGGCCTCTGCGAATACGGTTCCATGACCATCCTCAACCCACCCCACCGTCTCAATTCACTTACCCACCTCTCTCTTGACTTTGGTTCTCACCATGAAAACACTAGGCATAATGATTGGCTTTTTGAACTTGACTGTTGATTCTACGGTTGGAGATGAGCCCGCTTCATACACATAACATAGGAACTCCCCCATACCCTAGTCCAATAGCGCAGAAATGATGCCACCGTGAAGTCGGTCAGTGTCACCATTGACGTCACGGCCAACAGAAACAAGGAAGATTGCTTCGGGGTTATTGGTATCGCTAACATCGAAATGGTTTTCTTCTTTCGTTGCTTGCCTTCGTGCATCTTGTTGGCGGATTTCGGACGAAGGTTCGCTGGGAGCTAAAGCAATCTTGACCCACATTTTTCCTGCATTCAATTCTCTTTTTTGTTCGTTTCCTGGTCGGAACAATGTGACATAGGCGCGGATAGAACCGTCGGTGAAGAGCGTGCGAAGGAGCATTGTATGTATGTATGCACTTTCTGAATTTGCACCAGGTACCAAGCGTTTACTTAGATGCATTACGAAAGAATCGGAAAGAAGTGCTGTACACCATGGTTGTGCCGTCAAGTCTTCGAGATGGTCATCTTTCATGATCACTATGTAGAGTGGCGATGAAGGTAAACACACAGAGGTATTACGTAGCCTCTGCGCTCTGCGATGATGTATCGGGATATCTATCCTGGTCTAAAAGTAAGGCTGGCCCCTCAAACTTTTGGTGAGAAAATCTAAATCCGACCATCCCGGTGAGACCAAAGTATATCCCATGTGCTGAACCGAGGCCAATGATTACTGAAAACCGCTAATAGAACACCTCTGACACTGTGACGGGCACAGGGTTTGTGAATGTTGACCACGGGAAGCATGACGCAGTAGGGTGGTATCACAGAGAGCTTCGAAGCCAACAATGCTTTTAGAATTCTTGAATTATCCTTTGCATACTCAGTCCGGGTGTTCCTACAATTGGCTCCGCTGGACAACAGTATGCATTTTGGGCTACTAATCAGTATTTAGCACAATAGTTTGAGTAATCGTTGACCTATCTTTCTAAGTTATCAGAGTCACCCATTTGAGTAAAGCGCAGTTGCATGCTCGCGAGGCTGGGGGCTTACCAAGATAATACGCGAGCGACTCTGGAGGACTAATACCAACATCAACATCGCTGGAAGTAGTCCCTATGTAGATACCCTGTGCTCATTTGGGAATGTCAACACGATACTGCCTAAGAGACCAATCCCTGCGTGATATGGAATTTCTATCACTGCGGTTGTAGGAACTGGAAGTGAGCTCCCATGTTTTCGTCATGATCACGCTACAAGGACATCGCATAGGAACTGGTGCGTGCGTGGAGCAGACTGAATTTGGTATTCCGTATTGCTGCTACGCATGGGGAGTGCATGGACCACTAGATGACACGTGCCACTAACGTATCTTATACATGGCGATATGCCCGACGAACGGGTGAATCAACTGTACATATGTACATTTGTTTACAGGCAAAAACAGTTTTCGAGATGATATTGCTAGCCTCTCGTTGCAGTGATGTCTCACTGATGAATCACAGTGCGACGGTCACTAATCGCTCATGTAATCCTCTTCGGCCACATTTTCGCCAAACCCGTCAGCCAAAATGTCAGTATCTAGGCGCGTCAACAACCGTGTCACTACCACCAGTCCAATACTACAGCGTTAAGTTGCCGATATGTACAGTGAGCAGCCTGCCATATAAGTGTGTAAGAGCTTCCGATAGCCGCTATAGGGCAAGCCAGGATTACCGAAGGTTGATGAAGGTTGAGTCAACTGCCGGCTGGGGGAGACAAACATCATCTAATGTCTCGCTTCGACACCTTTCTACTGCGAATAATTCAGCAACGAAACCCTTTTGGCAGAAGCACCGAGCAATCCAGTCGACTGCCATAATAGAAGTAAGCACCAAAGAACTTAAGCAATTGGCAGTGAAATCGGTGGAACAAGGGTTGAGCGACGAGCAGCTGGCTGTTTTAGACCTCGTTTTGAATAAGAGACAGAACGTTTTTTTCACGGGCCCTGCAGGTACTGGAAAGTCTTTTCTTCTCAAGAAAATCATAGAAGGCTTAATCATCAGATACCTTGAGGGTAGTGATGACTGTGTTGCTGTCACCGCGTCCACAGGCCTTGCTGCTTTTACTATCAGCGGAAAGACACTCCACAGTTTTGCTGGGATAGGGCTTGGCACCGCTCCTACAAAACAGCTCATCAAAGACATACTCAGTAACAAAAGCTCATGCAAGCGTTGGAGATATGTTGAGGTCCTTATTATTGACGAGGTATCCATGGTCGACAACACACTGTTCGACAAGCTTGATGTCATTGGACGCGCAGTGCGGGAATGTGACTTACCATTTGGAGGAATTCAGCTTGTTATTACGGGTGACTTTTTTCAGCTACCTCCGGTAGTGCAAAGGAGTGACGATGGAAGCCCAAGGTTCTGTTTCGAGGCCAAGGCATGGAAAGATGCTGTTCGGCACACGATCAGTCTGACTAAGGTCTACAGACAAAAGGATCCATTATTTTCCGGAATGCTGAATGAGATGCGCGAAGGCCGTGTCTCAACAAGTACTATTAGCACATTTCGAAGACTGAGCAGACCTGTGACAAAACTCGCAGACAAGGGGCTGGAGGCCGTTCAACTTTTCCCTCTACGTCGTGAAGCTGACTTTGCGAACAATACAAGGCTGCAAAAACTTGACGGCAAAGTCTACGAATACACATCTGAAGATGGTGGAATTGTCACAAACCCAAGTACCCGCAAGAAGCTCTTATCCAATTGCCCTGCACCAAAGATGATCCAGCTAAAGCGGGGTGCACAAGTTATGCTTGTTAAGAACTTAGGTCGTGGCCTTGTCAACGGATCTCAGGGCTGCGTAATCGGTTTTGCAAATGAAGAAAACTTCTTCCATGCTCCGTGGCACGATAAATACTACGTCACCCGTGAAGATTGGGATCCCGAAGCTAGACTGACCATGGGCAAGGAAGCCTTACCAGGGGAGAACCTGCCACTTTACCCTGTGGTGCGCTTTCACGGACCAGGTGATAGCACCCAAGTTGAGCACTGTGTTCCTCAGCGGTGGGTTATTGAGCGATGGGTTCGTATACAGGCAAAGAAAGGCGAGGACAACGATGAAGAAGATAGGTGGTTTTGCCAGGAGCTTGCAACCCGCACCCAAGTTCCCCTCATCCTTGCATGGGCATTGAGTATTCACAAAGCACAGGGTCAGACACTATCACTTGTGAAGGTGGACTTGGGCAACGTATTCGAGAAGGGCCAGGCATACGTAGCATTGTCCCGTGCGACGAGCATAGACGGCTTGCAAGTGCTGAACTTCAACCCTTATAAGGTACAAGCACACCCAAAGGTTAAGGCATTCTACGCGAGCTTGTCAAGACTATAACATCGTATTGAATGTGGCCATTCTCCTTAAGTGTAAATGACTCGAGGTATATGCTGTAGCTAGTTAATACGTATAGTAGTTTAGCTAATGAGAACTATCTACTCTACTAAAATACTCGCTTCTTATTCTTAAAATTTCAACGTACTACTATTATACCTATAGCAAAAACAAACATAGTAATTAACTTACAGATTCTAGAAGATCTACTTTTGTATTACACACTTGTTGTATTGAATCTAGTTTTGGAGGATATATATCAATCTGAGAAAAGGAGTATTTACTACTAGTAGTATTTGATGATTTGGTGAAACGAAGCAAGGCTGATGAACAATGTTGGTAATGGTCTAAGTGGTAGTACCTTGGCTCGATTCCTATCATCGTTTCTATGGACCGTACATTCTTCATTAAGACATAGAGACGATGGGTTAAACGCCAATCTATCGTGGTTGTTACAAATCCACCCTCGTCCCCAGCGTGTACGGCCGACATATGTACCGGCTTGGCAAGTAACGATACTTCGTGGATTGATAATTGTTGATTGGGGTGTGGGAAAGTATGGAAGGATGAGTTGATCGGTATAGCGTTGCTTGTTCCTTCCATTGAGTAGAAGAATTGAAACAACTCATTATCCAAAGAGGAAGAAGGTACCCAGACCATCGCGTACGGATCAAATGTACAGTTCCTGGCCAAAGCATCCTCTGCTGATAAACCGCAAGAACAAGTTTCAGAGGTATCAGTCTTTTTCAACGGGGTTAAAATCTTCGGTCTCAAGCTAACAAAAGCCAATGTAGTAAGGTTGAGAGTGCCATAAACAGCAAGTCCGATTATTGCCGCGACAAAAGACTTACGGCTCAAATACAATCATTACACCACCAACACCACTGCGACTAACAATAACCCGCATTGGTGGTCTAGATATCTCTTTCCTGGTTATGACCCATGGGAACTGCGAAAATTCGTAACGCCGATAGTGGCCGCATCAAGTTAATCAGAGAAAAGGCGGAAGATTTACATCACACCTTTCTTAATATCCTTTATAAATTGATAGTCCTTTTCTTAACGTTTCGCTAGAGTTCTGGTGGTTTCCCTATGCTGAGGAAAAGCAAGGCGCGTTTTGATGCCGTGTAAATCTGCCCGGCAATGCCCCACATACCATGCCTTTATATTCGTTTTGCTGACTTTACATGCCTCCTCTCATCGCATATTAACCTGGGCCCCAGATCTTGGGGAGGCATTTCATGATGCCGTCATGGATTTTCGTAAGCTGTTAAAAGCCATCCGGTTGACCTGCACCGATGAAGTTGATAAAGAGAGCAACCTCGAAAAAGATGAAGACGAGGTTCGTGCGTGCCGCGACGTCTCTCCAGAGGCGCACCACTTCGGTACACTAGGAGCTCGCTCCACGGTTCGCTAAAAGAATGTTCATTAGTCCAAGGTCAGTTTGATCTACGATTGATGATCTCTTTCGCTTGGCTTCATCAGTGTTGTCTTTTTTATAGTCCATTAACTGGGAATTAACTGCTAGCAGCAGCTAACGATACGTTAATGGTCTGATCCTACCATATTTGGACACATTAATACAGGGACTCTGTAAAGCGTGCGAATAATGTGGCACTTAGAAGTGCTGGTGTAGCAACTCTGGATTGCAAAGGAACTTGACCACTATTCTATAAGGCAACCGTACTCTGGATTGTCCAGGAGTAGATGCCTGTTGCCGTTGTAGAGGGTCGGTTATACGATCTTGAACGAGGTTCTTATGTACTTCAGAGTGCTTTGCGGAGGCGCATGCTTAGAGTGTTATCGCTCTTATGTACGAATTGATTAGCATTAGAAAATTAGAAGGCCGCGTATATTGTATCACGATGCAAAATCGAACTCAAAAGATCAAGGAGCAACCCGCAATCGAGCTGGTATAATAGAGCTCAAATCCAATCGCTGGATTGTATTAACTGAAGAAGGTAATCTATCTGCTCCGAAAAGAAATCCCAATATATATCCGCAGTTTAATCTGATCAGATACAAGTACACTACAGCATACTCATGTCACGCAGCGAGCACTACTTCTACTAAGTAGCTTCCAAGAGGCTAAGTAATAGCGTGAATCGCACAATCTTAGACGGGCCATTAGTATGCTCTGAACAAGCCCCCGATGCTTAATCAACCAACTACAAACTGTCTAACAATACCACATCGCATTCTTTCTCCCGACTGAAACAATCGTCGACATCCCCCTGATGACTGGAAAGAGTCTACTGAACATCTTCTTCCGATGGAACTATACATAGAAAATGCCCTCGCAGGAGCTTTGTCGATGGCGCAAGTAAGTTACGGAATTTAGTAGATGAAGGGTGGCTCGCACTGCGTGCGGTGCAGGGCGTTCCACCCGCTGACATTGGAGAATTTCCCGTTGGCCCTACACTCTCCGGCGGTCGTATGGTCCCCGGACGCTCTCATGCACATTCTCTTACAATCATTGGCTTCGTTGTTCTGGAAAGACCACAGTGGTGAGCAAGGCATGTTTAAGTATGAAGTAATGTATGATGACTTACAATGACGCAGCAGTGGCTGCCGTCTGGGTAAAGGCACTGGCAATATGAAGCAGCAACGCTGCTTGCGCCAGCAAAGAGCATGGCAACTATTGTGAGAAGGCGGACCATGCTGGGCGTTGATAAGGATGATGTCGTTGGATTAGATTGTGGGATTATGTGATAATGAGTGATGTGATGGTGCTGATGAGTGAATGCATTCGGAGAGCAGTCAGAGAAATCGCCATCTTTATAGAGTCCAGCAGATTAAAAAAACCACATAACACGAGTCACAGACATATCTTCGTGAATTCACGAAGCACTCTACGGTGGGAGGTGCACAAGCCACATTGAATCTCGGTGATGAAGCTCACGGAGTCCGTAACAACGCGCTTGTGTTTATTTGGAAAGGCTCCTCGCCATACTGATTAGACAAGGCGGTCACCAAATCTCCGCGATAGAGTTTCGATCAACGTGTGTAATGACGAAAACGTTTATACAATTAAGTTTAGATGAAGATAGTAAATAAGTCAGGTAAACTCGACAAGGGATTGGATTGAAGTTAGAGTCAGACAGACACTCGGCTAGAGTGAACTAGAGTTAAGTTCTTATGCACTTAGATCAGTATGAAACGGGAAGATCACTAGTGGCACGAATAGCTGCAAATGTCTCCGATGCGGCAAGTATCCGTGCCCGCAGGACGCCAATTTTAGGCCATGCGCCACGCAATATAAGTGCATATGCATGGTCTATATCGAAATGCCATCTCGAAGCCACTAAATACTGTTGTATCAACTCCACACTATCAAGGTGAGGAACGCACGGTGGCGCCATTACCGCAGGGGCGACTGGGACTAGTGCAGTCAGGCGGCCAGTACCGCTAGAGTGGTCCTGACTAGTGTTAGTCCAAGACGGTGACCGTTCTTGTGGCAAAAGTGAGGCAGGCTACGATGCAGCCCTCCTGCATGAGCGCCACGAGAGTACTTTGGGGGGACAGCGTACCCTCCACCGACCCCCTAAAAGTGCGCACATGAGGAAAACACTAATACATTAGGTTATTGCGATGAACGTGGTAGGTCTTGAAAGATGAAGATCGAGGGAAACAAATAATCCTGAATACATGTGCAAGGTTCCATATACTCGTGAAGTTTACAGACGAAGAGCCTTCTCATTTTGCCTCATTATTTGTACCCACAAGGAAATCTAAGTCTCTTCTGGTATGAAACATCGCTGGCTAGAAGGTTTCGACAAGCGTGTACTACAAGTGACATAGGCTGTATGTTTGTTTTGGGTAATAGAATCGAAGGAGGTTTTCAGTATCACTATTTGTGCAGTACTAATTCCTGGTGCGAGTTGGAGAGTAAGGTATACAAGGTGGTTTGATTGACTGCCATACCTCTACGTCGTGTTTCTATAACTTCGAAGAAATGTGATCTATCTACATGCGAGGTTCTCAGCGAGGTCTCAAGGATCTCAAAAACCGAGAAAAATTTAATAGAAAAAGATATTGTTCACCATAATGCAAGGAAATGGTTGCTTGGGCGGAGCTGCGCAAGGCACCCTGGCGAGATCCTTTGTACTACCTAGACGACGTATTCGTACTTGCAGCCGCGGCGCCATCCTGCGTTCCACGAGCTAACGTCTGAGTACTTGCCACCAGCATTACACATCCTGTCTGAGTTTCCATTGTTTTTGCAATTCTCCACGCATGCTTTCCTGATGCCGTATGCCTGGTACATTATTAGATTTGGTCCCTTGTGTGTCCTATTTAATTTCGCTCGGGCTATCATTGACTTACAACAACGCAGCAGTGGGAGCCATCCGGGAAGAGGCATTGACAGTATCCGTCAGCGGCGACAGAAGCGACGGTGGCGAAGATAACTGCGAAGATTGAAAGTCGGACCATTTTGTTGTAGTTGGAGGATGATGAGGTTGAGTAGGATTAGGATGTTTGGTAAAACTTGTCCTTACTGAGCTGATTTGTCAACGAGAGTGGTGAAGATGCTGTGTTAGTATGTTGACTTTGAAGAGGGCTGCTATAGTTTTATATAGAGGGCAAGCTCATGTTCGTCCATTAATTACAGATGAAGTCTTGTAGTAAGGTGAGTGGAAGATACACTATAGCGCCGACTCCATTAGCGAGGGGGCGCACAGGCCCACACGGACATGAATCGCTGTAACGATGGTACGAAGCACATTCTCCCGCATGTCTTCGTACCTTAAACTTAACCCAAACGCGAGCAGCTCAAAACAGAGCATATATTGTTAGACCGAGCAATTGACCGAATGTGGAAGAAATTGCCAAACAAGGTCTACCGTAGTTACGGGGAAAAGTATCATAGGTGGAGGAGTTGTTCAGTGAACTAACGATATTTTAAATAGCGACCGGAAGAGAATTGCGCTCTGCCCTATCCGTTAGAACCACTGAGGTTGAACTGCGTTGGCTTGTTTTCAATCCCTTGTAATCGGCACGCCATAGTTTCCTACCCACAATACTTTTGCCTATGACTATAGTATGTCATGATTGCGGATTAGGAGACATCTGTAGAACGCATAGGCACACGTAAATACCCGTTGGTCTGAAGAGACTGTACGGAGCTAGGCTGACTCGACTGCACCATCTAGAGCGATCCAAGCACTACTCCGCCAGACATCTGTGACGGCTCCTTGAATTTAACAGGTAACAGACATGCGTAGACACCGCCAGATTCTACAGACACACATTGACATCTATCAATGTGTGCAAGATCTTGAGCGAGTTTCAATCAAAGTTTCATTCTTCGATTGAATTTCATAAGAAAACAATAAAGTTTAATTACACTACTGTATGGAACAAAAGTAGCCTTCGATGATTTTTATTATACTTTGGTCTACGTCCTTCACATCTGGCCCTTGCTTTCACGTGACTATTCTATTCTGATCGTAGTTAAGAAGGTTTAATCAAGTTGGCCTTGCTGGGGGGGTCTTGTGGCGCGCCTAACTTGTTCGGCCCCTATGCATATACTGGTTATTAGCGCTAACTAATATCTTTCTAGAATCGCAGAGACGAACTTTGTAAATGAAAATGGTGTGTGTGACACTTGCAAGGACCAGACCCTAACGACCGATACAGGGAGGGGGACTGTAAGTTACGTCATTCAACGACTCTCTTCTGCATCCAGCTAGGCTAGCTGGATTGTGGAAAATTGATGGCATACTACCTTACCTACATACGTATAAATATCAGAGCAGCACCCGTTCTTTGAAACGATATCCAGCTCACTGTACAGCACCAAGACTCCCGACCTCGATCCATTCAACTCTACACTCTTCTAATATCTACTTAAGACAGCCCACAACCGCTAGAATGGTCCGCATCCTCTCTCTCGCCACTCTGCTGATCGCCAGCGCCATTACTACTCAGGCTGCTATGTTCTGCCAGTGCCTCTTTGGAGATGGCTCGCACTGCTGCGTTTACTCGGTGAGCAACCCCTCAAGAACGAGACAGAGTGAAATATACATGTTGAATGCTAACTTGGGATTAGGATCCTCAGATTGGCAACCTCGACTGCCAGCGCTGGTGCACTAACGCCCACCGCGCTGATGGTGCGACTAATCCTCGCAACCCTCTTGAGGTCGGCACCGCCTGCAACTCCAATGGAAAGTACAGCACTGTCAGTGGCTGGAACGCTCAGTTCCGCACCTCCTGCTACAAGCAGTAGATCCTTGCCAACTCGAGTCGACAGCGGCTTTTGATGGATGGACAGCTATTAGGGGATTATGATATAGACTTTGTGACAGCTATTACGTAGGGGGTTATGGGATAGACTTGGTAATTGCTATCGATTGTATTTTTTGTTGAAGGAAGATGTGCGATAGCGCGGATCTGGTCCGGTATCGTGTGGTCACAGCATATAAACCGGCGACAGTCTCAATATAGAAACTGCCCCACCGTCCGTCATGCTCCCAAGAGTTGGTGTTGTTGAATATGCAAATTGTGGTTGTGATTGGATACCAAAGAAGCCAGGTCCGCCCTCGCATGAACAGCCAAGCCATCCATCCCATTACGTGCACGGTCTCCCGCCAATCTTCTGGAAGACGCTTCGCCGGGGTGCCACGTTTCAGGTATAGTGTCGTCGATCAGCTAAACGGCGCGCAAAAGATTATTCGGGAGAGGAGAGAGAGGGAGAATAATGGGACCCTGGTGGTAGCCATCATCAGCACTTGAGTCGCGGACGAGGCCGACTCAGGGCAATTTGCAGGCCCCTGGTCTCACAGCTTAACATATGCCTCAAAGAGGCGAATGGCCATGGCTGCCACCATGGCCGTATCGGTGGTTTCAGTCGCCACCGCGAGCAGCGTCACGAGGACTGTCTGAAAGATGTGTATAGCCTATAGACGGGCGGACCGTATTGCTACTTAGGGTATAATGTTGCACTTAACTTGTTTATTATTATTATTATTATTCCATTATAGTCCTGTATCAGCCGTTGGCTATGTAGGACTTTGGCCAAAGGCCGTTCTATCTAACTAGTTACAATTTGGTACGTTGTGCTGTATTGCGTGACTATGGTGCTTCGGCCTTTGTCTAGTTAAGCTAGTACTAGCTTTCTAGACGCCTGGTGCTAAAGAGCAGTTTGGTAACAGGGAGAGATATAGAGCAGCTAGGCTGCCTTCTAGCGAGCTCTCTTAGGGGATAGGAAATAGTGCTAGTAAAATCAAATTCGTTGTTCTTTGTTTTTCTTCTTTTCTTCTTATTTTTCTTATTTTTCTTCTTTCTAGCCTTCTTGGCCTACATGCCACTTTCTTGTTCCTATCTTCGTGCTAGTAATAAAAGCTAGAGTAGCTTCTATACCGCTCGTAGTGTGGAGTAAGAGTGGGAGTTTAAGTACTTTCTGGCCTAGAGTCTTTTTAAGTTGGTTTCTCTCTGCGCTATAGAAACCGCAGTATAGAAGTAGGTGCTCTGCTGTTTGTGGTCTTCCGCATTTACAGAGTTCTGTTTCTCTTCTTTTTACTCTCTTTAGATAGGCATTTGAAGTATCCGTGCCCTATCTTAAGAGAATAGAAAGAGCTTGAAATCTCTCTTTTGGTGCCTCTT